TGCAACAAGTTAGGAATGATAGACCTAAAGATCATTTTTCGTGAGCGTGAACACCAAAAAAATCGATTAGAAACATTTAGTTTCCAAAATGAATGCAGACAAAAAGGTAGAAGTAAATTGCTAAGAATGAAATTTTTGCTTTAAGCTTTTACCACGAAAGTTGTAAATATGGGCAACTTCAAAACGCTCCTGTCGCTAATGCAAGGTAAACTGGACAAAATTGCGGTTATTTTCGAACTCCTGAGGAAAAAGTCTTTTGATTGAGCTGATTCAGAACTTTTCCTTGACCGTGCTATCCCTTTAAAATGACTGGCTGACTAACTGATGGATCAAAATGAAAGATTCACAGAGGCAATTATAATATTATTGATAATACTTATTGTAGAAATGTACGTTTCTACAGCACCATACCCAATGGGGTATTCAATAGGAGAGCATTTCAGAGGAAGTTGATTATTTTTATCTGCTATTTGCATACTCTAGCGTGGTTTAAGCCTTAGTTAACTTAAAAACGTTTTCTCGATTTTTCAAAAGTTGCCGATGCTCTGTAGCAAACCAGCTATATTTGTCACTATACAATAAGTAAACATAATAGTTATGCAACACTTTTAATCGTAAATCGTAAACGCGTTCCTAGAAAATTTATAAGTCTTTCATCAAATTTGGAATATCTTGAATAATGAATGCAAAGGTTTGAAGAAGTGCCCCGTTGTTATTTTAAGAATGCTTGTTTACTTGCGGCAGCAGGCTACTCAACTTAGAATCAACCTTCCACGTTGGCTCAAAAAACGTTTCTGCCAAATAACAATGTGAGCCGATAGCCTTAACAAAATCTAGCGTGAAATAACTCCGTGCACCAATACGAAAGCCGATCCCTGTCTAAAAACGACAGTTAAGTCCATCAAATGGTTACTCTCTTATGGGACACGACTTTTCAACAGAACCCAGATTCCAAACAAGACACATGAAAGATTCACTTGAATATCGCGGCGCTGTGTTATGGAACTTTGTTTGCCACAATGAACAAGAAGTTGGACGCTCAATCAATACTCTGAAAAAAACACCTACTCACCAGTGAATACTTTAAAGAATTCAAATTTGACCTACTTTCCGCTTCTACTTCTCACTTTACACATACCGATTTTGTTTTTACCTAGAAGTAAAATATATATCATTGTCAATTTTTTTACTCAAGTTATTTTTACATAACGTGTAATTTTCCTTTTTCTTTACACGACCCCCCAAGCTTGTAGCTTAAAATAATATCGTGTATGAATAAAGGTTATCTATCACTGCATTCTAATAAGAAAGATAAACCAAACTCACGTTTTCGCCGATTATGACGCCGCTTATTGCTCTGTCGTTTTCCACACCAAATTGTGCAAATTCCTATGAAAATGGATCAAGATACGTGTCATTAAATCGTAAAATCGCCTCAAGGTGGAATAACTTTAAGAAACATATAGCGGTCGGGCTTGAAGTTTGTCTGACAATAATTAGCAATTTTGTTAACCACTTCTAAAATGGGCATTGTCACGCCGACGGACATCATGAACTACTAGACATAGTTATTAAAATAGTTCGTTTGCTTAGACTATCGGCAGTTTTTTTTATCAGCATTGATTCTTAAGTGCACTTAGGCATGACTCTCTCGACTGGGGTGCAAATAGATAAAAAAGTAGATTCAGGTCGACTTCTTAGAGGGTTACATGATCCATCATTTGATCAAAGATACCTTCCTCTTTAGGAGATTTGAACTAATTGTACTCCTATATTTTTTTAAATTTAAGATATTCTGAACCACGTAGTGCTCCTGATTTGGAC